TTACTGAGTTAAAAAGTAAGTATTCAGCCACATAAAACTTGTTATCTGAGTTGTATATATTAGAAAAAAAGGTTTTAAAAATAATCGAATTGTTTCCTCAGATATAATGACATAATGAAACTGAGAAATTAATAGAATAAAACCCCCTTTGTACATAATTTTCATTTTAAGATTCTGGATTGAGTTGATGAATAGGAATATTCTACTTTTATTTTATCACAAAAAAGAATCTTTCATTTTAGTTAAGTTGTGGAAGAGTTCTAATTTTTTTAGAAAAAGTATAAAATAAAAAAAATAATATATAATAGTTATATAAAACAATTTTGAAATAATTCATAAATCAGAAAAAATGAAAAGAAACTAAAAAACTCATCCATAACAGAAAAAGATGAATAGGTACAACATTGAAGGAAAACATCCTCTTATAGAAGATCAACGATCAAACAAGAGAAGAGGTAAAGAAGATAATAAAAAATGGGGAGAATTAGTTCCATTAAATGATAACTGTAAATATCCACCTGTAGAGTTAAATAGTAAGGTATATTCATTTTCAAAGAGTAGTGGGTTAACGGTTGGGGTTGAGTGTAATTTTTTATATGATGAGGACAGAAAAAAAGGATATTTAGAAGTAGTATCACAACTTGGATGTGTGTATGTTAACCAGAAACCAATCAGAAAAGGAAGAGATAGAGAAAAAGTTATTTTAGAAGATGGAAATGAAATAGGCTTTTATTTTAGTGAAACTTATTTATTTAAATTTCATTATTGTGATGGTACAACAATATTACATCCAATGAGAGAAGACGTTTTAGCAGAACAACCTAGACAAATAAATAAACGGTTTCAAACTAAGACTATTAGACCAATTCAAACACCAAGTATTGCTGAACTTTCAGAACGTCTTATATATAAACCAAATCAAACACAAACTAATCAAACAGAACAAATTTGGCAATTTATTCCAGAAAATATCCAACAACAACTTCGTTCTGAATTTGCGTTTTGTCTTTCTTCTACACCAGAAGAAGCAATTTATTCTCGTATTCCATCATTAAGTAGAACCTTACTATTAACAACACCAAATGGTACTGAGTTATTTGTTAGTAGGTTATTAAAAAGAATAGCAAATGAAATGAATGTTCCTCTTTTAGAAATTGATTGTACATTGCTTGGAGCAGTAGACGGTGTTGAACAAGAGTGTATAAAGAATTTCCAATATGGTGATCGTGTTAAGTATATTGGAAAAGGAAAATATTCCAACGAAGAACAATTAGGTAAGATTGGGACTGTATTATTTGTTGCAAATGGTAAAGTTGCTGTAAACTTTGAAAATACACCAAACGGACATAGTGGAGCCTTTGTAGAAATTGATATGTTAGGTGGAGTAGATGAAGAAGTACCTAACCAAGACAGAAGATTAATAGGGAGATTACCTGAAATATTAAAAACATATCCTCAATTAATTGTTGTATTACAAAAAGTAGATGTTATCATGCAATTAAAAAATGATGTTTCCACAGAAATTAGAACATTTATTAATGATTTTAAAAAACGTAATGAAGGTATTCTTGTTGGATGTAATGCTAATGCACCACCTCCTAAATCATCTCATTCAAAACAAATTGCACAAGTAGATCAAGGTATTTGTATGTTTAGTGAGAAGGAAATTAAGATGGTAGACGCATATGGAATTAAAGGTCAACAACATGGAAGAAGTATTTTTAAAACTTTACAGAAGATGTTTGGTAATTCAATTACTATTCAAACCCCAACTGGAGAAGAAGCTCGTTCATGGTGGATTATGATGCAAGAAGATTCTAAACAAATGTCTGCTTCTATTTCTAAACGGTCAATCAAAAATGAGTTATTAAAACATGGACTTGAAATGGAAAAAATTGATGACTCAGAATTACAACTAGATTTAAAAGAGGAAGATGTTGAAAAGATTGTAGGTTGGGCATTTGTTCATGAAATAGAAAAGAGACCAGATAAAAATATTCGAACAATTTCTAAAGAATCTATTATGAGTGCTATTGCTATGCAAATGCAATTAAATCCAGTAAAAGATGTTGTTGACACATTAGAAGCAGAAAACGAATTTGAAAAGAAATTAATGAATGATGTTATTCGTGCAGGTGATGTTGATGTTTCTTTTGATGACATTGGGGCATTAGAAAAAGTTAAAGAAACTTTGTATGAATCTATTACATTACCATTATTAAGACCAGAACTCTTTAAGAAAGGATCTCTTACTAAACGTAGTAAAGGAATTCTTTTCTTTGGTCCACCAGGGACTGGTAAAACTATGTTGGCCAAAGCTGTTGCTAAAGAGAGTAAAGCTAATTTTATTAACGCATCACTATCATCACTCGAATCAAAATGGTTTGGAGAAGCTGAAAAATTTGTTAAAGCATTATTTTCATTGGCAGCCAAATTATCCCCATGTGTCATTTTTATTGATGAGGTTGATGCATTATTAGGTAAAAGAACCTCACAGAATGAAAACGAAACATTGAGAAAGATGAAAAATGAATTTATGACATTATGGGATGGTCTAAAATCACAAAACCTTGAACAGATTATTGTACTTGGAGCAACAAATAGGCCATTTGATTTGGATGATGCTATCTTAAGAAGATTCAGTAGAAGAATTCTCGTTGATCTTCCAACAAAAGAAGACCGTGAAAATATATTAAAGATTATATTAAAAGGAGAGAAAACAGATTGTGATATTAGTAAAATAGCTGAAAAAACACCAGGATATTCTGGTTGTGATTTGTTTAATTTATGTTGTGCTGCTGCTATGAGACCAATTCGAGATTATATTGCAAAGGAAAATAAAGAAAAAGAACGAATAGAACAATTAAAGAAAGAACAAAAAGAAATGGAGTCTAAAGGAATAAAACCTTCTCCATTTATCAAAGTGGAAGAATTTGTTAATCCAACTATAGAAATCGCTAAAGAACAAATCCGTGCTGTAAATGATAATGACTTCTTTGAAGTACTTAGTACAATGAACCCTAGTACTAACAAAGACTCACCATTTTTGACTGAAATTAGAAATTGGAATGAACAGTTTGGTGAAAATAAACAAGGCAATAATGAGATTGTTTCATATTTCATTTAACAATTATCACAATAAGTAATTGATTTGTTGTAAATCCTTTTATATTAAGTTATTTTTTTTATATAAAGAATTAACTTGACTTATTACTAATTTTAATTAAAGAAAAGTTAATAATTAATTAAATTAATGGATCTTTTGTTGAAAAACATCCAAAAGAATTTTGAAGTTGGTGTTCATGTTCTATTCTAACATCAGTCAAAGAGATGCCTGGGAAATATTTCATCAAATAAGGCTCAGCTAATTTACCAGTTAAGAAAACTAATTGATGGTTTTTTGGTTTACCTAGAAATTCAACAGTATGAGAAATTTTTTCATCACACTCATCAGATAAAAATGGAGGGTCTACAATTATCAAATCAAATTGGTGGTGATACTCTTCTTTTAGCATTGTTGGCTTTTTATAATCATAAAATGAAAAATTAATTCCAAATACTTGAAAACGAGTATCATACTCAAATAATACAAATTCAGCATTTGGAACTTTTTCTTTGTTTCTAATATAAGCACGATATATTGAAGGTGTTGACACACATGCTACTTTACAATTTTCTATAGAATTAACATAATTAGCAATATAATCAATCACCCTATTTCCAGTTGCCTTGTCATACCAGAATTGAGATAATTCCCAATCTTCTTCAATCAATGGAAAACCATCTTCATCAATTTTTGGTTCTTCTACAGCACCTTCAAAAACTTCATTTAAAGCTTTGATAGTATCAAATCTAAATCCATAATATTTTTCATTTCCTTGTTCATCAATAGAACCAGAACTTGAGCTAATGGGAGAACTTGAGCTTGATTCAGACATATTCCAACTTTTTATCATTTTTATTAAGTTTTATTCTTTTTATTTTGAAAAAAAAGGGTGAGTTGTCTAATATTTTATCTATTTCAAATTTATTCTTTGTAACTTTTTTAACATTGTCGTTAGTGTTAGGTGGTGACACGTTATTAGTGTTAGTAATAAAATGAATTAAATTAAAAAGAATAAATTATTTATAGAGCTCAGTTGGTTGGAAAGGATGAGGAGGTAATTGTAATGTTGTACAGTACTTATTACATTTGTGGGTTATAAAAAATTGATTTATTCCTGTATTCCCAAGATTAGTAAATGCAAAGAAATAAGGGGACAAAAATTGATGATGAATTGCTGGGTCTGTCAGTTCATATAAATTCTTTTCTTTATTAAATATACCTTGAAGATCAGTGATAATGAAAGACTTTTTTGAAATAAAGTAAGAAAAATGAGAGAAACACTGCATGGTATAACTATAGTTACAATAATTAACATCTGAGTTATTTGAATTGTACTTTTCAAAATTTCCAACTAACGGTTGTTCGATAAACCATATTGTTTTGTCTACTGCCATTTTTTCAATTTCATTAATACTGATTTTTTTTGAATCAAAGAATTTTCTTCTGAGTGAAGATGTTCTTGGAGTTTCAATAAATAATTTTAAAGGAATAAAAGAAACTCGCTTAATAGAGTCAAGTTCATTTCCTTTTTTTTGTTCATTTTCTTTTTTTCTGTTTTCATTTGAATCTAGCTCTTCTTTTCTTGTACGAATATCCAACATTGTAATTTCTTCAACTGTTTTTCCTTCTTTTAATAAACTGATATAAGACTCAAATAAACTACTAACATATTGACATTGAAGGTGCATAGCAACCATATCAACATAACTCTCAAATCCCATCATATTTTTGGTTTTAAATTGTTTGATGATAATTTCCTTTTTATCCATATCAAATCCATGAAAGGCAATTCTCACAGAACCAACTCCAAAAGGAACGTCTGCCATATTAATTTCTCCAGAATGACACATCCCAAATTCTGGACACATCTCGAATTCTGGACTCTCTGTTTCATTTTGCTGAAGATCAACAAAAATACCATGATGACATTCACACTCTTCAAACTTTGGTTTTTTTTTGGTTGTTGACCATTCATAATTCCCATTAATAAAATGGCAATGCCTCGAAGAACATTCGTCTGAAAAACAACGTGAAAACATTGAATTTAAAAATGGAGGAGAAGCAAAGAAATTTTTTACAAAAGGAATTGAACGATATGGATGATGTACATCATTAAACATTAAACAATAATAATCGTATTGATCATTCAACATTTGATGAGGTTGTTCACATACTGAATTTGAATAACAAAAGTGAATTAATCCAATTTTTGATTTAACAGTTGTTTTTATTTCTTTAATTCTTTTATAAACAAATCCAATTTCTAATTGAGAATGTTTTTTTTTAATCATTGAACTATCGTAAAACATCTGAAACTTATTTTCATCTTGTAACAGGTTTATCAAATCATCTCCTGTTAATTCTTGAATTTTATTATAATTATAATACAAAATTCTCATCGTTAAATCTTTAGGTCTTTCATCATAAACAAGTTTTAACTTTTCTCTTAAACTTTCAATCTGGTCTTTTTCCAATAGAGCCATTTCCACAATTATAATTATTAAATCTACTCTCATCTTCCTAACCATTTCATGAAAATCAAGTTCTTCATGAATAGAGTCATTTAACTCTTTAAGCCTTTGCATCTCTTTGAACTCTTTCACTTTTTGGGCTTTTTTAATTCCTGATTCAATAATTTTTAACATCGAATGATGTTTTTCTCTTAAATTTTTAAGATCATTTTTCTTTTATAGGTTAAACCAAATTAAATACTAACATTAAGTATTATGATTATTTTTTTGTTGGCTTTAACTGGTCTTTAGCTCGTAGAACTTCATTAAGTGAAATTTTTGTTCTATTACTTTCCAAATTGATTGTTTCTTTATTTTCCTGTGTTTCCTTTTGTGTTTTCACGTTCCCAAAAACTTTTGTAGCTTGATGAACTTTTTTCTTTGTAACTCTTCTTTTAGGAACATTAATCAATGTCGTTTCTTCATTTAGTAATTCTTCAATTTGTTCCTTTTGATTAACAGGTGATTGTTTCTTTTCTTGTTGTTGAGGTTTGATAACAACTTCAGACTGATACGTGTTGTGGTTTTTTAAACGATGTTTTTCTTCAGCTTCTTTATTGAGTTGTTCAATTTGTTTGGCAAGTGCAGAAATACTTTCTTTGGCATTTGTAGAAATTTTGATTGTCTTAGTTTTATTACATTCAGGCTTTGGGGTAATGGCCTTTGGCTTACTTTTACAACTTCCTGGGATTCTGACATTTGGAAAATGTATTTCTATTTTCTCTTCTTGTCTAGAAGGTTTTGAATAAATTAAAGAAGAAATTGCGTAAAGAAAATGAAGTAAAGAACCAAGAACGAAATATATAACAACAAGATTTTTTTTTTGGTTGACCACTGTAATAAAATGAAGTTTTATAAAGACTTGAGATAATAAAAGTAATGACATTAACCGTCTAAAAAAAGGGGAATAATCAAAAAGTATTGAAACAAAAATGATGCTGTCAAGAATAATTTCAAATAAACCAACCATTCCCCATCCACATCGGGCAACAAACTTATCGTTAACAAAAACATCAAATGGCCTTATGAAACATTCTTGATTCCCAAAGTCTTGAGTTTCAAAGAATGATATTATGCAACACAAAATAGCAAGAGGTATTAACTGTTTCATTTTTTATTTCTAGATAATTATTTAGTTCTTGCATTAGAGATGATTTTCAATCAGTTGATATTTTTATCAGAAAATAACGTTATATATCCTAAAAACTATTTATATCAATTACCTCAAAGAAAATAAGAAGAAAATAAGAATTCGAAAAGTTACTAGAAGAGATTGTAGAATGGATTATCTTTGTATAATTAAACTTTTTTAGCTATTTGTTTATTAATGTCGAAAATCAAATCAATTTTAATAAATTTTTTCTCCCCATTACTCCATGTATTACCAAAGGGATTCCCTAAAAGAAAGTTAATTCCATTGTTATTATTATCATTCCTTGAAAGTATGAATAAAAATTCTATTACATCATACGCTGGATTTCTTGTAGTAGATTTTCATGTAGTAGATACTAAAAACCAAGCTGGGTTCTATAGTGGAATTTTTGATTCAAGCTTCTACGCTGGGCAGTTTTTGTCATCATTTATTCTTGGGATTATGTCTGACACATTAGGTAGAAGACCTTTATTATTGTTTGGGTGCCTAGGTTCTATTATGTGTACATTATCTTTGGGCTTTTCATTCAACTATCCTTGGGCAGTTGCTTCTAGATTTTTATTAGGATTAGTTAATGGTAATTTAGGTGTGATTAATGCTTTTATGGGAGATCTTTCAACAAAAGAAAATAGAACTCAAGTCTTTGGATTAATTGGGTTAATGAATGGGTGTGGAATGATTGTAGGGTCTACTATTGGTGCTTATCTTTGTCGTCCTGCAATTCAATATCCGTCTGTTTTTGGAGATGTTCAATTTTTCCATACATTCCCATATATTCTTCCTAATGTGGTTTGTGTTTCATTAACACTCGTTGCCTTTATTTTATCAGTTATTTTCTTACAAGAACCAAGAGCCATTGAGAAGATGAATTGCAAGTGGTATGTTGTTATTAAAATCATTATAACTAAGGTTCTTGTTAGAATTAAAGATATGATTAAAATGTGTTTTTCTAAAGAGTACATTGGTATTTTAACTTGTTTTATGAATGCAGTTCTTCAATGCTCTTGTGGTATGGTTTGGGGAATGATTCCATTACTGATGATGGCATCTGTAGATGTTGGAGGTTTTGGTTGGGAAACAGCAGAAATTGGAACTTTCCTTTTAATCTCAGCTATTGGCATTATTATCACTCAACTATTTATTTATAAACCTATTGTTAATCTATTAAAGCCATTATGGACAAATAGACTTGGATCTGCAGGTTTATTTTTTATGTATAATGTTCCACCTTGTATCCATTACCTCTACCCATACGGAACATTATTATTATGGATTGTATTTGGGTTTTATAGTGCATCTTTACAAACAGTTATGCAGTTTGCATTATCTACTAATCAAGTATTAGTTGGTAATAGTGTCACAAAGAATTTAATGGGATCTCTATTTGGTCTTTCTCAAAGCTTACTTGCATTTTTAAGATTAATCGGTCCATTAGTATGATCCCCATTAGTTGCATGGACCCTAAAACACAAGTTCCCATTTAATATTCACTTTGCATTCTTTGTAGTTTCATTGATTGCTCTTCTTGTATTTATCCTGTCATGGTTTTTACCAAAGAGTATTAACGAACCTAAACCAGATGAACACGACTATAGTCAATTACCCAAAGACGAAGAAGCTATTGAAATGAAAGATGAACAACATAAAGAAGTTAGTGTGAATAAAGATACACAAGAAACAGTAAAAGAACAAACTCCAACTAATCAAGAAGAGCAAGATACAATAAACAAAAATTGAAATGATAATGTAATTGAAAATAAGTAATTGTTTACATAATTGTTTTTTTTTCAACTGATATTAAAAAGAGTTTTGGCAATTAAAAACAATGCAAGACATATTATCACTTGAAAACCTACAATATGCAGTATCAACAATGAGTTTTGCTAATTCTGTACAATTCATTTGTTCATTGGCCATAACTAAATTTCCAATTTCTTCATTACTGAAAACATCCCAAACTCCATCACAAGCACAAATAACAAAACAGTCACTAACTCTTCTTGGTACTTCAGAAAACTCAGGAATACAAGAAACAAATGTTTTACATTTAACATCTCCTATAGCCCTTGTAACAGAAATATATCCATTAACTTTTTCTTGGTCACTAATATAATTTCCAGTTTCTCTAATTCTTTGACGATCTTCTTGATAACTAGGTTTGTGGTCATGTGTTAATGCCTCGACTTCAATTCTACCTCCTCCGATATAATCAAAATTAACTTCTATTTGGTTTGTTATTTTAGATGAACCACCACTCCTTCCTAATTTACTTTTAAATGTTTTTTTTGGTAAGACTAATTTAGAAGGAGATTTTGGTTGTAATATTTGTTGAGTTTCATCACCTATTTCCTTCATTGGTATTGGACTAGTATCTGTTCTTCTAATAATAACTGCTCTTGAGTCTCCAATATTGGCAATTAAATAATGTGTTTTTGTTGAAGCAACAATTACAGAAGTAGCACCATCAGTCATATTATTTTGTTCCATTAGTGTGTTAATATTTTGGATAGCTGAGATGATTTCATTTTCAAAGATTTCTTTAGTCAAAGCTCTTCCTCGTAACTTTTCAAGTGATTTTTGAATTTCTTTTGAGATAAAACAACTTCCATAATCCCCACCATGTCCATCAAAAATTCCAAATAAACTACTTGCATCTCCAAAAAAATTATTTCCAACTAAAATAGAATCTTGCATGGATATTCTTCTTCCACAATATTCATATGACCCAATTCCATTACAAAACTTTTGGTTACAAATATTATCACAACCAAAAGTTTCAAACCGTTTAAGAGTATTTTCAATTCCTTTTTCTTTAAACACTAACTCAATTGGAATTCCTTTTATACTTCCTTTTTTAGTAATAGAAATACAAAGTTCATCATTTCCTTTAAAAGAATACCCTCTTCTAAGAGAAATGCCATGACAATACAGATTAGTAAGTTTTGGTAATTTACTAATTTTCTCCATTAATTTTTCTATTTTGATAATAGGATTATAACTTACATTGAGTTCAACCAATGAAGTAACTTTAGAAAAGTCACCAATACTCTTTAATTGATTATGAGAACAATCTAATAAAGTTAATTGGCTCATTGTTTCAACAGAAGATTTTTTTGACGTTAGAATAGAAAGCTTATTATTAGAAACATCTAACACTCTTAATTTTGAAGCTTGTTCTAATGAAAATGGTAGTTGAGTTAGATGACAAAATTGCATAACAAAAGATTGAAGATTAGCTAAAGGTAAGAATATAATTGTAGAAATTGGGTTAAATGAACATTCAAATTGTTCTAAATTTTTAAAGTTATTTAATAAGTTATCAGGTATTTCTCGTATTCCACAACCACTACAACACAATTGACGTAATTTAGTTAATGAAGAAATTTCAGTTGGTAATGTAAGAATTGGATTAAAAGAAATATTTAAAGATAATAAATTTGCACCAATAAGATCTAAATGTCTGATTTTATTATCACAGAGTATTAGTCTATTTATTAACGATCCATTTAAAGATGGAATTGATGTTAGTTTATTAAATGGAATTTGAAGAGCAGTAGATTTAGAAATATCTAAATTTAATACTGTTAGATTGTTATTTTCTAAATGAAAATCACATGATAAAGGTAGAAGAGGAGTTTGAGTCAGTGAACAATGTTTCATAGAAAAATTAACTAATGAAGTTAAATTGTTTAAAGTAGGTAATTCAAGAATATTTGGACAATTATCTAGGTTTAAAAGAGTTAGTAATGTTAATTTAGAAATTTCAGAATGAACAGAGTGAAGTTGAAGATTACTCTGAATATATAACTCTACTAAATTTGTCATGAATCCAATGTTTTTATGTATTCTTCTAATTTTATTATTATTAAGTTTAATTGATGTTAATGAAATAATATTATAAAATGATTTCTTTAATTCAGTAATATCATTCCATGACACATTAATTTCAGCAAGTAATTTTAATGTATTTAAATAATGAAGTCCTTTTGAAATATTATTATCTCTTAAATTTAATGAAGTTAAAGATGTACATGTTGATAGACATTCTGGAACACCAATTAATAAATTATTACTTAAATCCAACTATATATTAATAAAAAAAATTTATAAAAATAATATAACAAACATTCCGTAAATGACAACAATTTCTAAGAAATTCAATTTCTACTAATTTATTTGATATACAAACAAATTTTGTAAGATTTTCTAATGTTGATAAATTAAAATGCATGTCAAGAAAATGACATTGAGAAATAGTTAGTTCTTTAATTGAAGAAACCGATAATAATGGTTTAATTGATTTAATTGGGTTTAGTGATATATCAATAACTTGTAAAGGAATTGATATTGCTGGAATTTGTTCTATTTTATTTTTCCGAAGAAGAAGACATTCTAAATTTTTATATTCATTAATTTCATCAATATTACTGATACAATTATTTGTAACATTGATTGATTTTAATACAGTTAATCCCTTCTGTTTAGGGAGTTCTTTTAATTCCTTTCCAGCCGCATTGATTCTCTCACACATCAATCAAATAATCTTATCTTTCATCTCTAATCTTTTTTATTCTTATCTTTTTGTTTCTTTTCCCGATTTCTTTGGGTTCTTTTACTTGTACCATAGAATAACCACATTTTTTGTTTTTTCTCTTAAAAAAATTTTCTTTAATTCTTTTTTTGTTGATTCTTTTTTTTTGTTTTTCTATATTTATCTCGTTAATTTCTTAGTTCTTTCTTTGACTTTCTTTTAAGTTCTATTTCAAATTTGGGGATGTTTTTATTTAAACAAACAGAAATTTTCATTAAGCATATGTTCAAAAAATTTTGAAACAAACAAACGTTTTAATTAACACAAATTCAACTCGGCAATCTTGGGAAATGAATACCGTAAATAGTATTTTGTCCATAATGGGATTGTTAACAAGTTTTCTGAGATGGAGATTGGAGAAGTCACATCAAAGTTATAATTTCTAAATTTTGCTAGTTTCAATTCTTGAACTATTAAATCATATAACGATAGTGTCTTCCCGTCAACACACACTCTTCTTCTTTCTTTCTCTGAATTGAAAAGAAATGTATTACATTTTCCTGTATACAATTCATCTAAGATAAAAATGATTAGATCTTCTGTGATTTCTAAAGCAGTTGGATTTTGACGTATAATAGCCTCCACACAATGAATAAATAAAATAAATTCAACTGGCTCATTAGAGAAATAGTCATTATCTATACCAATATATTGAGCAAATGGATATCCCATTAAAACCCATTCTTTTTCAATTAATGCAATAAATCCTTTAATAGTTCTAAAATAATCATCACACAATATACAACATAAAGATGATATTATTGAACATATTCCAGTTCCGTCAATACAACTTATTGAAACAGAAATTCCATTCTTCATATATTCATAAATTAAAGATGCTTGTTTTAACATTAAAGAGATTGAAGATATCCATTTTATATTATCTATTTGTTTTAATATAACTTCTGGTTGATTAATATATTCTATAAATTGATGATAATATTTCATTAATGTCTTTCTATCAAAACAAGATATTTCTCTAATCTTCATAGATGGTAATAACGTTTTACATAAAGTTATTTTATCAACAAAATCCATTATAACTAAATTTTTCTTATTTGTAAAAGCAAATGGTATTTGTGTATCGTTATAACATCCTTTAATTGTTGCTGAATTTCTCATAAGAACATTTTTATATTTATTATCATACCACACTAATGCAGGGAATCTATTATAATACCTTCTTGAAGCAGATAATTTAATTTCTTCTTTTGAAACCTTAATTGGTAATATCATTTGTCTTGGATAACTGTCACAAATTTCATACCCTTCATTAAATGTTCGAACACACCATTCTTCAATACACCCTAAATGCATATAATATTCACTAATGTCATAAGCACTAATACTTTCTTTATATACAAGAAGACCTCTAAGATTCCAATTCCTAAGACCTCCAAAAATCCAATTGTATATCCCATCTCCTCTCCCTAATGTAATAACTTGAAAATCTTTACAAATAATTTTCCATTTTCCATTTGTATTTGTAAGATCTTTAATATTAATCATTGCAATATGTTCTTCTTTTTCGTTGTAGTTATGGGTTATAACTATACTCCCATTCTTTGCACTGGCTTTAAAATTTTCTCCAATAAAGGTATTTCTTCCATCATATTCTTGAGTTGGTGTTGGCGGAGAACAACTCTGAGTATAACTACTGTTAATTGTTGTAAAGTCAATAATACTTTTTGCTAATGGGGCGTTTGTTGTGGTTGTATGTCGATGTGGGGATAATACAACTGTATCATAAGTAGTAGGGGGTGTTGGGCTGAATGGCATAAGAGGGGAAGGTGGTGTCTCCTTATCAGAAATCATTGGGATAGTAGATTTAATCATCATATTAATCTCTTGATAACTTTTCTTTGTATAATAATTATTAGTTTTCTTTTACTATCCTATTAAATTTTTTTGATGACATTTTATTAACATAAATTATAATAAAATATGTTAATAAAAATTAAGACTTTTAAATGAAAAGGTCAGTCCATAAGAATAAACAAGCTATAGTGTCAAAAATTATATTCTTCTTGAAATAGCCCCATATCATATTTTTCATTTTACTATTATTGCTATGTATTTCTTAAATAACAATATTTAAAATGATCTTTAAGAAAAAAATACGTGATGAATATGAAAAATTATATTGAGTCATTTGGTTTAATTTTATGGAATACTATCATTACAAATCAAATAAAAAACAAAAAATGTGATTAACCCAAGAAATGAGACGTTATCTATGTGTTCAGTTCAATTTTGGTGAGAATTGTTTGGTTGAAAAGGAAGTCATAATATTAGCATAACTTTACAACAACTTTTTTTATCAAAAGAAATCAGTACATAAGTACATTATTTGACATGTTCTTTTGTTATTTTTTTTTTGATTAACAAGTTAATCAAGAGTAATTACGTATGTTCTATTAGATGAACTATATATGTTTTATTTTATATTTTTAGACTTTAAATTAATTTTAGATTCACACATCAGTCTTTAAGTTATGAAAAAAAGAAGTGTTGATTGTGATTTATTCAGTGAATTACAACAAAACGGAATTTTAAATGAAAAAGAACGATTAGAACTCTTTAACATTGGATGTACACCACTTCCTTTATGTGTGAGAGTTAATCAAAAAAGTAAATATCGAGATTTGTTACAAACTCTCTTTAATAAATCATGTGATGAAATGAAAGTGATTCAAAATCACAAAATTTTTATTTGGAATAATAACAAATCAATTAAGAAAGAAATTAAAGAAATTATTGACAATGCAGTGGAACGAAATTACTGTTATAGACAAGAATTATGTAGTATGTTTCCTCCATTAGTTATTGAGTCATTAATAAATAAGTACCATATTAATACTGTTCTTGATATTTGTGCCGCTCCAGGAAGTAAAACAAGTCAATTGGTAGAAAATAAAATATTGGTTACAGCGAATGATGTTGATCCAAAAAGAGTCCAAATATTAGCTCATAGATTAAATTGTTGGGGAAATGTAAATATATTAAACTGTTCTATAGATCAAATTAAAGGAAAATATGATTGTATTTTATGTGATGCACCATGCAGTGGAGATGGAACATTAAGAAAATCTTCAAATCCATGGTTTAAATGGAAATTAACTACTTCATTTGAAAACCATAGAATTCAACTTAAAATTGTTAGAGAATCATTAAAACATCTTAATGAAAATGGTATTATTATTTATTCCACTTGTTCAATGAATCCTATTGAAGATGAAGCTGTAATTCATTCAATATTAAAAGAATTTCAAGGAAGTATAGAACTTATTGATATTCACTCCATCATTCCAAATGGAAGAAATGGTGTTTCTATATGGAAAAAGTATGACACAATAAACTGTCCGGTTACTAGTTACCCTCCTCTTGAAGAATATCATTTAGAGCGTTGTGTAAGAATATTTCCTCAAGACTATAACTCAGGTGGATTTTTTATTGCTGCTCTAAGAATGAATAAAGGTATAAGCATAGCTTCTTCAGATGAAGATACAATGGAATATTTTGAGAAAGCCAATAAGGATAATATTTTATGGAATCAATTAAAAAATGAATTTGAATTACAACCTATTGAAAATAATATTATTATGAAAAAAGATAATTCGTTATATTCATGGTATAATGGAAATCCTATTTATCAATCAGTGTTTTGTGGATGTAAATTATTTGAACGAAGAAGAAAAGGTGATTACTCTCTGTCTTCATTTAGGTTATGTGAAGATGGGTTGTTTTTGGTTCAACCATTTATTAAGAAGAGACGAGTCAAACTGTCTTTAGAATCTTTCCTGAAACTTCAAGACCAACCAGTTCCGTTCAATTTATTCTCAACGGAAATTCAAAACGAGCTAAAAAAATGGAAAGAAGGGTCAATTATTATTGAAATTACTCAGAAAAACTGTAAATTGGATTCATTTTATTTTATTGGATGGATAGGTAAAACAACATTAAACCATAATATATCGAAAGAAGAATGGAAATTAATTCATCTTTTGTTGAAAGAGTCTATCAATAAATAAAATATCTGTAGGTTATGTAATGAGTTGGTATCTTTTTAGTATTACACTATTCTTATATGATAAACTAATTTTATTGATTTTCTAAAAAGTGTCTTTGCTTATAATTTTCATAATTCTAAAATTAATAACTTTGATGATAATGTTTAATGAAAAATTATAAAACCAGTATAGGTGTTTTTGTTTTAAACTAACTCTAATAAATTTATGAAACGCAAGATAATATTCTATGGAAATTAATCTGAGTTATAAATTAAGGTAATTTCATAGATTCTATTTTCTTTACACCCTTTAAAAAGTGTTCATAACAATAAAGAATTATTTTAATAACTCTCTTATTGTATAGGTATTTAAGTAATCAATTAAATAATAAACACAGTTTTAAAATTGAATTTATTTAACCTTCCTTAGAGAGGTCTTCATATAATTATATACTATAAACAAATGGTGAATAAATTCATATTAGAAATATAATTCAAAAATGTTTTATTGAATATTTATTATTAAAATTTTCTATTTAATTAAATAATAACTTACCAAATATTTTATTATATATAGCATAATGAAAGTTAATAAATATTTTTTATAAGGGTTTAAGTAAACAATTTAAATTTTATGTTATAACTCTGTCTTAGTTGTATAGAAGAAATTGAAATAATGGTTGTTTATATTAAAGCTCATCAAGATATTTTAATACACTCTTTTCTTTTAAACCTATATTGTTCTTCAATTAAACAAAATTCTATTAGTTATTTTTTCTCTTTTTCTTATTTAAGTTCTATACTTCTTTTTGAGTTGTTATATAATAAATTTAACATATATCACAAACAATTTTTAATTTTTTTCTCTTTAATTTACAAAGAAAAATAGTAGAAAAGTAAGGAAAGAAACAATTTGTTCATATTTGGTTTGTTAATTTATTATAAGTTTCTATTTTCCATCCCCAAAGCATATTTCCTATTGTAATGAATTCTTTCTTTTCTTCAGTGTTCCAATGATTAGTATATCTAGCGTTGAGTATGAATCTCTACTTAAATAAATTAATCACTAAAAAATTAAAAACAAACGCTAAGATAAATGAAAGGGCATGTGGAGGAAGGTCTTCCCATGGCTCCTCAAACAAAGGGAATGAGTCGTGCTCTTTTGTAAAAGAAGAAAGAAAAGAAACAAGAGATGCAACTTTAGCAGGATTCCAATTTCCTGTAATACCAGTCACAAATGCCCTAAACATTGGTTCTTCAGTCCTCATCCTCCACCGTTCCATTGCATCCAAAATTGTTCGAATAACTTCATTAAATGAAATTTTATTATTTTCAATGATATGGTTATAGATAGAAGCAAGTCTTACTCCAGCTTGAGTGTTTCTTCCAAGAACCATTACAATATCGTCATTATTTTCACTTTCTCCTCCAAAAGCAGTTAAAACTGCACCTTGGGTTCCACCGAAAATAATATTAAGGTCAGAAAGTAATTTATACATAGTACCAGATTCAGTTTTCATAATAGATTTTCTTCTTTTCATTTTATCTTGTATTTGAACTTCTTCTTGTCTAACAAGATGTCTACAGAAATAATTCCAAGCAAAGTTAGCAATCTCATCATCAGCCCAAGTAGTAATGCATTCTAAAAGAATATTATAAAAATATCTCTCACACGTATCTTTTCCAATGTTGTTCATAATTTGAATTAACTCTTTTGGAGGAACTTGTCTTTCATTTAAATGTTTACAAACATTAATTTCATTCTTAACTTCAGGCCATGACTTACCACAAAAAGGAATAGAAATAAGTTCTTCTTCTTTCTTTCTCTGTTCTTCAACTTTCTGAAGGGTTTTTATATGACTATTAATTGAATCAACCCAAGCAGCACCTATATCAGGAGTATCAGCAATAATTTCTTGATTTCTATGAACACTACAAATAACAATATTCATGAAGGTATCATCAATTATTTTAGCTTGAGACTTTGAGTTTAATTCAATAACTCCTTTTGGAGTAGAAGTTGGACTGGCACTACTAAAATAGTAAATAAATTCATTTTTGATAATAAAATATCTTTTTTTCCATGTATGGAAATCATATCCTTTTTTCTTTAACCAACCTTCACGAACACCAGGTTGAAGATCTTTCAAACGAGTCTTCTTGAAATTATTAAAATTTGGATGGTTACTCATTGAAGTAACTCAAAAATAAAGAAAACACAATTATGAGTTCAGTCGAGTGGTTGGAAAAAAATGGAAAGGAAAAATGGACAAAAGAATTATTTGATCAATACGTTGGTACTGAACATGGAAAATGGTGTGGTGTTATTGAAAGAATTATGGTTGGAAATAATTGGAGTTATAAAGTTAAAACAATGCAATTAATAAAAAATAATATTGAAAATGTTAATGACGAAAAATTAGCAATTACACTTTATCATTTTGTTGTTGGCGCTATTTTAGATCATTGTGATCAAGTAGTTAAAGAAGCTATTTTGTTATACAAATATATGTTACAATATTTAATATTTAGAAAAGTTAGTAATGATACTATTAAATTAATTTTAATTGAAATTGTTGTGAGTGAATGGAAAGAATTAAGATTCAATTGTTATGATGTTTTTTGCTTAGATTCATTAGATGACAGAATGATTTTATCATTATTTACTGTTTGTCATTTTAAACATAAAAATATTAATAAAACTTCTCACTCATTCTTATTAGCAATTTGTAACTATTTACCCATTAACAGACCAACTTGAAAAAGAACGTCTTATTAAAACTATAATATTATTATCACAACATTGTAGAGGTTCTTTTCAATGTTTTGAAAATGAATTTCCAAATAAACCTTTTGAACAATTTACTAATTACAAAGAGGTCTTTGTCTCTTTATTCCTTATGAACTATTCATCTTCTCTTGCTAATTCTTTTATTTCTAAATTCCTACAGTACCAATTAAATTCTCTTTCTCCAGAATTATGTCCACTACAAATTATACAAAGAGAGTTAACAAATTTACCACCTACAACAGTATTAGTAACATATATAGATTCAATTTCATCAAGTTAATCTCTCTATATCTTTATTTTTTGTTTTTTCTTTCCAAAAAAAATTTGAACTTAAAATATATGTTTTATGACCTCTATTGTGAAACAGGTACCTCACCTTTCTTTTAAATTAGTTAAATTTACTAGTGTCTTAGAAGAGTATTGGTCTGTAGTTGTTTTTCATGTTAGTGTAGAGTCTTCTAATGGAAGTTATACTTTATATAGAACATCTGAACAGCTAATAGGTATTCTCTGTTCTGTTTGTTTTTTATAGTTTTGTAGTCATAGAAAATATTAATTGGATCTGTTAGTACTAACATTTTTTTAGTGTATAAAAGGAATTGAACCTTTACCAATGGATAAAGACATTGAATGGTTGAAAAGTACTGAACCTTTATTTTATACTAAGAGATATCTCTTAATTTTTAATAAATGTATTGAAAAATTATTAGAGATTCCAGAATTTATGAAAGAGTTAAGGAAACAAAAATTATTAAGAAAAGACTTTCTTCCTCCTTTAAATTCACTTAAATTTACTAAAAAAGGAAAAGTTTTATTCCATAGAAATGATGACCCTGAAGATTTAATGATTAATGTAACTTTAATGTTATGTACATCTCAGTTACCATATCTTTATGTCTATATTACTAACAACCCTGTCAGTGTCCCTTATATAACCATACAACTACCTCCAATTTTAGTTCAATTATCTCAACAATCAAATGGCGCTTTTATAGTTCAGACACCTACACAATCATATACTTTTTATGTTTCAATGGTAGATGAAGCCAATAAATGGGTTCACTCAATTAATAAAAGTACAATCAGAACAATAATTTGTCCAAAGGGATTATTAGCTCTTGTAAATTCTCCTCGTTCATCTCCTAAATCAAGTAGAACACCAAGGAAGAATATGACTTCAAAAGAGTCAAATGGTATCTTATTATTAACATCATATAACAATGAAACAAATTCATTACAAAAGAAAATATTAAAAGATCAACTAAGATTAATGGCTACAATCAATATCACTGGACTTATTCAGACATTAAATGAACGACACGTTACAATGAAAATTGATCAACTAAAACAAGTATTAACTTTAGTATTATTTGGTGCAGAAATAACAACATTAGAAAATGTTATTGGTGAAATTGGATTCTTTTCAGAATCAGGTCTTGTTAATGAAACAATTGATATCAACGAGTTACATGGAAGTGTTATTTTTGCTTTAAAAGAAGATTCAAAAATCCCAAATTTACATGGATATTCAAGAAATTTAGATGGTAAAGAAAAAAGTCATATTCTTTTGGCTATTAACAGAATGTCTTCTTCTCAAAATGAAAACAAATGTAATATAGAATATCCATTATTTCCAGGAGAAAATATCATAAGTATTATTCCTGAAACAATTCATCTTCATTTTAATCAAACAAAGAGTAGTGTACAACCAATCTTTGGTACGGTTATTGTAACTACTGCTCGTTTTATATTTAAACAACAAAAACAATTGTTAGAGATAGACAAATCAAAAGATCTTCTTAGAACTTCTGAACATTGTTCTGGTACATTTCATATTCCAGTTCCATCAATTAAAAAAATTAAAGTGAGAAGTATTGAATTGGAGTCAATAAAAAAATTTTATACTTTGTTGATTATCACAAAATACTTCAATTATTTCTATATTGGTTATTTCACTGATGAAGCTCAAGCATTAAAATTACAAGAAACATTATTAAGTCTAATAGAAAAGAATGCCCAGATAGAATTATTCTCTATGGGTGGACCAATAGAAGATCGAATGAAATTGATTAGAGAAGATTTTACAAGACTCAAGATTGAAAAATACCCTGCATTAAAAGTATGGATTCAACAACTTTGTCCAACATATCCTCCTTGTGTTGTTATACCTTCAATATTTAATGAAGAAGAACTACAACAATGTATACAATTTAGGAGCAAAGGAAGAATTCCTATTGTTTCTTGGATATCTGAAGGAAATGGATTATTAGTTAGAAGTAGTCAACCTGCAACAGGTATTACTTCTTCTAGAAGTAAAATTGATGAACAAATGTTAACTGAATATGCCATGATGAGTCGAACACATTCAATCAAAATTTATGATGCACGACCAAAATTAAATGCTAACGTAAACAGAGTAAAGGGAATGGGAAGTGAAAATATGAAGAATTATGGTAATGCCACAATAACATTTCTAAATATTGATAACATCCATAAAATGAGAGACGCTGAAGATGGATTGTTTACTATAACCGAATCACCTTTAAGTGAAGAAAATAAAAGTATATGGTTAAAACATATTAAAAAGATTATTAAAGGTGTTTGTGAACTTTGTACTAGTATTATTAATGGTAATAGTGTTCTAGTTCATTGTTCAGATGGGTGGGATAGAACAAGTCAACTAACATCATTAACAATGATTATAATGGACCCTTATTATCGTACTTTTAAGGGGTTTGAAACAATAATTGAAAAAGAGTGGAGTTTAAGTGGTCATAAATTTAGTGATAGATGTAGACACTTAAATGGATCACAAAGTATTTCTGAAACTTCACCTATATTTTTACAATTTATTGATAGTGTTTATCAACTCTATTCATTATTTCCAAATGAATTTGAATTTAATGAAGTTTTCTTAAAAGAATTACTCTTTCAATTATATTCTTGTTATTTCTGTAACTTCCGCTTTAATTGCTGGAATGAATTTAATTCTTTTGGGAACCGAGTAATGAACTTTTATTCTTTCCTTGATTCTGAAGAAGAAATTTTATTTGGTTTTAGTAATGAATTATTTAATCCTCAATCTAAAGTGTTATCTCTAGATATCATTAAACAGAAACAACCTATATTTTGGTATAATTATTATGGGGGTTATTCAAAAACCCACAATTACATGTAATTTTGATTATTGTTTTGATTTGGATTATTTTCTAAATAAAAAAGTCAAAAAAATAAGTTCCAAAAAAAAAAGGAAAAAAAGCTAATAGAGGGCAGATTGAAAGGAGGTTTTTTCTTTTTTTCTTATTCTTCTTCAAAACTAATAAATTACTTCATAATGATTGGATTTAAATTACGTGAAGTTCATCGTACATTATTATGTAAAATGATTAGTATAACAACTTGTATCGCATTAGTCATTTCTTTATATATATTCTTTTTTCAATTTGTATTTGCTTTAGATAAAGATTTAATCAATAATACAACTGTTTGTAAACCTTCTTTAAGAATTGAAACAGACATTTATTTTATTAGCTCTCTCTTCACAAAAACAATATACAAAATCCTGAAGGGACATGTCAATCTGATCCATATAAACATTACATTCCATTCTCTTTAACTTTAGAAACAGAAGACGAGACTTATTCTTTTTGGTGTTCTCCCTACATTCATTACCAAGTATTTGTATTGTGTTTTGGTTGGTTATTAAATTCGGGATTTATTGCATTTTGTTATATATATACTATTATATTTCATTACAACACAAATAAACAATTATTTATTTCTTCAATATATTGTGGCTTTCTCGGGGCGTGTGGTATTTATGACATTATTAATTGGACACAAACACAGAAATTCTGTACAGAAATTGTACCACATATAACATACGGACAACCCTTAAAATCATTTAAGTGCCAAAGCACATCATATCTTGTTTTTGCGATATCTGAATTAGTATGTTCTATAATGATTATCTTAAACTACATTGTATTATCATATTTTTATAATAAATATTCTAAACAAAACGTTTTCTCTTTTACTTCTGCTGTTGTTATTAATGATGATGAAGCTCCAATAGGAAGTCCAATAATCACTGATAAACAATAATTGAATACTTTTTATATTTTTTATTAATTTTATTTGTCATGGTTTATAAAACAAAGATCAAAAGAAATAAAAATTAAAGAATTGTGGATGAGGTGTGCCATTACTTTTATTTAACAAAATTTGTTTAACCAATACAACCCCTCTGCTAGAGAAGAAGTTTGAGATTGTGAAGCAGAAGAGACATAATCATCTCCAAAAGGTAAGCAAGAAGTTCTTTCAAATGGGATAGGATTAATAGTTCGTTGGGGGTATGAACAATCTTCGCATTGCATATAATCGTCAATAATCACAATCTCATCAGCAAACGAAGTAGAAGTGGAATCAATCGATATTTGTGCTTTTGCTATTGGTTGCATTATTGCTTGTGGGTGGGATAGTGACGTATTCATTGAATTGGCAGATTGAGATAGTTGAATCTTTTTATTCCGGCGGAGTTTTCATGAAAGAATTTTCTCCATTCCGCTTTAAATTGGACTTTAATGTAGAATTTCTCTTTGATTCGAATTATTCTTTTCGGAATTTTTTTTTTATTTTTTGTTTTAAACTCATCATTTGTGACTCTATTTTTTCAGTCAGTTATTTTTTTCTTTTGAAAGATAAATTATGTATGTTTTTTAATAGAAGATTCGAGTCTTTTATCTTTATTGGTTTTGATGAGAAAGCTTATCTGAGTATCATGGGAGAAAAAGGTCAACCAAAGCACACTTCACAAAGAGGTTTTTGTGGAAGTGTTCCATAATTTAATTTTGAGACACAAAAAACGATACTCTTTTTTTATTAAGAATATTATTTAGGTGGATTGTTCGAACAATACAAGCGGGTCGAATAATCTTTTTCAGGAGAACGAAAAAGAAAGAAGTATGTTTTATATAACACATAATGAATTTATTTAATAGAATATAAAGGAGATTTAAAAATAAATATTAGATGTTTAATTACAAATAAGGAACAAAATAGTATGTTTTTTGTAAAATTAAAAATGTTAGTAAAACAGAATGAGTAAAGAAATCAATGAATGATTTTATTTTTGCAAGGTGAACAAGTAAAGAATGTAGAGAAGAAAGGATTTTGTTTTTAATTGGTGATGATTCAAAAAGAAGTATATATTAATAATTTTAAAATAAACTCAATGAATAAGTTAAGAAGGTATTTGTTTTTAAAAAAAAGTTTGAGACGAACCAAACTAACTTAAGGGCAATCTTTATCTTAAAATTTATCAGATATTTTATTTTAATAAAAAGGAAATTTTTTTTTTAAATGAAAGATTATTTTCTAAAAGTCATTTTATGATATCATTAAAATAAACAAGAAAATTGGTGGTTATTCAAAACAATTTCATTGATCCTAGGATCTTTTATAAATTGTTAATATATTGAAGTGAAAGAGAAAAGACTTAGATTATAAAATAAAGAAGATTTAAAGAGAATTTGAAAATAGTTATTAGTATATTTAAAAAGTAATGGAATGTAAAAAAAAATTAAATATAACACAACATTCAATTATTTTGAATGATTGATTATTTCATGTGTAACTTTGAAATATCCTTTGCATTCAGTTCCAATAAAAGTACTAATACAATTTTGATGAAGGTATTGATTACAATTAATACATTGACAAGAGTTTTGTTCAATATTTTTTTGACAAACACAACATTTTTTGTTAGTGTCAATTGAAACAATATTAAAAGAATGACCTATTGGTGAATGTTCAATATAGTTGTTATGAAATTTATATTCTATTTTTATTAACCTTTCATCAGTAACTGAAAAGTCATTAAATGGACCAATGTCTATAATACCAATATCTCCATTACCATCTTTTTCTAACCACAAATTCCAATAAACTTTTTCATGATAATTTCTTTTAACTAATTTTGTCCATTTAGAAGTAATAAAATATTTATTTGATATTGAACAAACTAATGAAATAGTATCTAAATTAAATAATAAAATTTGTGATGAATTGAATACAACAACTATATGTTTTGGTATTGAAGCAATAAATACAACACTTCCATAAGTTAATGGATATTTATATTCTTCTATTATTATTCCATTATCTCCATTAAATATTTTAATATTACCATCATTATTTGCAACCCATAGAGTTTGGTTTTCTTCTACATAACAAAAACAAGTAATTTTTGGTTGATTATATAATGTAATAGTTTGTATTAATGAACCATTTGTCATAGAAACAAATCCAATTTCACAATTATTTTCATATAATACATAAATTACTTCTTCATTCCCAGTAATTTGAATGATTGATGGTATTTTTTGTGATGCATCAAGTTTTTTTGGTATAACAAATAATTCAATTTTCTTTTTTAATGTTGGAATTTCAAACATTTCAATCATTCCATTTTGTTCTCCAATAACGATATTATTATTAAGAACCATTAAACAGTTTATTTCTTTTCTTTTAACCATTTGAATTATTTCTTTAGTTTCTACATCAATTGTTAATAAAGAAGTATTCGATGCAATGACATTATATTTATCATATGACTCTATTTGTTTTATAGTATTGAATGGAAGATTTAATTTAGTAATTGATGATTGTAAAGTATTAACATTAATTTCTGTTAATGTTCCATCAAATTCTAATAACCAAATAATATTTTTTGTTTCATTGAAACAGCCTATTATAATAGTATTACTTGTTTTGGTTTGTTTTTTAATAAGACTAAAAAGTGATGGTGTTTGTATTGGATGTTCAAGTTTAGAAGGCATAAATAAATCATAATTATTAATTAAACACTCAAATGAATCATTTTCTAATGATGCAAAATCAACTGATTGTTTTGGTGGTAAAAAGCATTGACAAATAGCAGTTGAGAGATTTGACTCTCCCATTCTATTTAGTCTTTGATTAACAGCAATAACATTCATTAAAAATAAATATCTAGATAAAGTATTTCTATGTTCGTTGTTTAATGACTCAATAAAAAATTTGATTTGTTCTCTTTGTTCAATAATTCCTTTCTTTTTTGATATATCTGAAAAGAGTTTATATGATTCTCCATTAATAAATCTAGGATTCATTTCCATTAATAAACTTTTTAATAATCCACAAATAGTTCCAACTGGATATTCTGTTAATTTTAATTCATTTCTGAAATCAGAATCATTTAATTTTTTTATTAATTCTTCTAGTTGGTATTGATCAGGTGGTTTTCTAAATAGTCCATCTTCAGTAAGTCCTTTATTAATAATTTCATTAATACATTTATTTAATACATCTGGAACATTATCAAGACAGGAACTAAATTGTTGAAATTGAACTAATTCTTCAATAGAAGAACCTACATATTTACTTTTCTTAATAATAACTTTTTTATTAAAGAATTTGGTTGATATAGGATTTCCTAGCTCAAAATTTGGAGTCGTTGGAACGTCAAGAGATGAAAGGGTTTCTTTAAGTTGATTGGTCCATTCAATAATATCGCTCTCGTGTTGAAAGGAGAAACAAAATGTTTTACGATAATTTGAATCTTTTGTTAAGATATGAAGATCTCCTGCAAAAGTATGGTCTTGAGGGATATCAATTTCAATATCAGCACTAACCAACCTTTTAGCACTTATAAAGTCACATGGTAAAAATGTGTTACCAGCGTATGATAACAAAATTAATAGTCCTATCTTTAAATAATATAAATAACATTTTTGATATCTGCAAATTTCATCATTTGTTTGTAAACGTAAAAACGCTGTTCCAGCATGAATAATTGAGTACTCATTTATTTGATTTATTATAGGGTCATATATTTCTAGGGATGTATTCCAATAACGTGCAGCTTTGAGTGAATTAAGAATATCATGATAATTAAGAAATGAATTTAATCCATCAACACTTTGAGATAATTGAGAAGTAAATGAAGAAGCTGTTATTAAGTTTGATTTTATCCATGTAAGTTCACTTAAACTAATTGACTCATTATCACCAATTTTATAAGAAGTTGTTCCTTTAAATTGAATAAGTACGTCTTCTAGATCAATTGTTTGTTCTATACCTATTCTATCTGATTCAAATAATCTAATACAAATACTTATAAATTCAGCACAATTACAAATAAGATCTTCTAATGAAATTGTATTATTTTTTTGATAAACTTTTTGATGAATTAATGATTTATTACACCAATTTCTAAAATTAATAATAGTTGTTTGAATATTTTTATTAAATTGAGTAAATTTATCAATAACTTCAACACTAAAAGAGAGTACTATTGGATTAAATGATTTTTTTATTGTATTTTGAAGACTTAATATTGATATTTTAAGTGCAGTAAGTATTTCTTCAAAAATATTAATTGAATGAATGAGATCTTCTTTGTATTGAATAAATTCATCTTTGTCAAATTCTTTTATGTCAAACTCAAGAACAATAGATTTTTCTTTATCAGTTAAATTTAATCCTTTATCAAATTCTTTGTTTTTAGATATTCTATTAATAATGCCAACACATTGTTTTTCTATAGAAATGATAACTTTAATTATGTCTTTAATTTCTTGAATAATTTTTAATATTGTTCTTCTTATCATAACATTATTTTCTGGACTAGAAATTAATGACAGTTTTGAACTTAACTCGAATGAAGGTTGACGTCTTGCTAAATCATTAGGTGTATTAATTTGTGATGAGTCAATAGTTAATCTTCTTAAAGGAATAAGTTTTGCTGGATTTAAAGAAGGGAGGTTTTTAGTATTACCTCGAGAGTGTTTAGTGAATGAACGAGGTCTTGAAAATCCATGTGAACTAACGCTTTCAACAGAAATCATCCAATAAATTAAATTTAATAATATTTTTTAGTTTAAATAAAATAGAAAAATAATGGTATAATAAAAAATAAATTAAATCTTATTTGAAAAGAAGAAAGACAGTTTGAACATTATTTAACACAGTCTTTCTTAAGTAATGATAAACAGTTTGTGTGAATACAAGTATGACAATCTAGAAATAAGTACAACAAAAATTTTTAATATAATTTAATGAAATGTATTAAAAAAATACTAAAACAAACATCTACAAATAAAGTCATATGAAGAAAGTGTTTTATTACATATCGAACAAACACAATTAATATGAGAAAGATTAGGAATAAATGAATGGTTTAATGAAGACATAGATTGTGGAATATCCATAAAGAAAGGAGATAAATTAATTGATGAACAAGTTGGTGGATTATTTAATTGATAGTAAAAAATTGAATTAAATGAACTCATTAAGATAACTTCATTTTTTGTTATTAAAAGAGATGATATTATTGAAAAAGGATTAAATATTGATAAAATCTTAAAATGATTTTTATCAATAACTAATACACAATTGTTTGTAGTAAGTGCATAATAATGTTGATTTCCCATTGTAATATCTTTAATACTTCCTTCATAAGAAATAATAATTTCTAATTCATTTCCATTCATTTCATTAAATATAGAGATACTTCCATCATTAAATCCAATCATAATAATTCCATCATTTGATGTTATAACAGTAATTTCTTTATTTATAAATTCATAATCTTTTGTTAATAATAAATTTCCTTTTTGGTCAAAGAATTTTAATGTTTTGTTATTTATTGCTACAACAAATCCTGATCTTATTTGATGTGTTTTAATTGTTTCTACTATTGTAAATGAATATGTTTCTATTAATTCAAATGTCTGACAATCAAAAAATTCTAATCTATTATCAAGTGCAACTATTAAAATATTTTCATTAATTGCAATATCTTTAATTCCATTAAGCTCTATTGTTTCTGTTTTAACATCAATTATTCTTGTTATACATTTATCATTAGCAATAAAAATATATTCATTATAATTACAACATAATGTATATGTATCAGATAAATGTAATGATAATAACTCTTCATTATTACAATAACAAATAAGTTGTTTTTCAAATAATATACAATACTTAATATCACTTAATATTATTATTTTTTTAATTGGTTCTTTCATTAAATTCACTTTATTTAATGTCATAGGTATCCCTTTCATTGTATATCTTGGCATCACATCTTTAATATTATCAATAATATATTTTATTCGTGTAGTATCCATACATTTCTTTTTAAATGTGGAATCACTAGCTATTTGAATTAGTTTTATTGCATCATCTATCCCAAAAGAAAATTGTTCACCATTAATAACAAAACAATTGAGTAGAAATATAAATGATAATAGTATATTTCTTATTTCACTTTCTTTTAAATCAAAGAATTCAATAAGATTTGATCCTTCAATGTTATCAGCTTTGTAGTTAATTTTATTAAATAAATCAATATCATTTTTATTAAATAACTTAGGTTTCATTTCTTTTAAATAATCAAGAAAGAATCCTGCAATCTCTTCAATTGGTACACCACTTAATTCAATCTTAGGATTATTTTGTAACGTACGTTTAAGTACTCCTTTTGTTTTTAATTTAGTTCCCATTTTGAAACAAGAGCATCCTCTTAATATTAACTCTTTTATTACACTAAATACTGTAGCTGGTAGTCTATCTGTTAAATTACTTTCAACAAGTACTTCTTTTATTTTAATAGTTGTACTTGTTTTTTGTTGATTGATACAGTGAACTAAATCATCATGCCACATTAAAGTTGTTAAAAGATTTGTTGAACACATACAATATGTTGTATTATTTAATTTATCTCCAATAGTTAATACACACCACCCTTCATTATAAAATTCACCATTTATTCCCGTAATATTACCGACATTTAAATTATCAACAGAAATCCATATTGATTCTACAATAGTATTATCTAAAGGAATAAGATACATTTGAAGTCCAGTAGGGTATAGAATAAGAATTGTATTGACCATTATCCTTTTATTATATTTATCTAGTTGTCTTAATAACATACTTCCATGTCTTATAATAATTCCCTTAGATGATATGTTAATAGGTTCTTTCGTTTTGAGACTATTAGCAACACAAAAAAGTTCTTTAGTATATTTTTTCATCTCTTTTATTTCAATATCTCCTTGTGATATTAAATTCATGATAATTGAATCATGGTTCATTACATTCTCAAATTCAGTTGGTTTCAAAAACTTTCTTTTTTCTAATTGTTCATTGTTAAACATAATTCCTAATAATGTCATATACCGTTGCATGTCTTTATCTAATAGTTCAATCAGAAAAGAAAACTCTTTTAATATTTCACTTGTAAAATCAATCAGACCATTCAAATTTGTTTCTGGAATTTCTGCATATGTTTCTACAGCCAGGGCTGAGAGAACTATAGGGTATGTATCAAAACATAATTTACCATCAATTATAAATGAACATATTAATGGTAGATTTGTTGGTTTTGATAATCCCATTAAAACCATAGACATCTGTTTTAAAAGAATACCTCGTTGATGAGCTGGTAATACCTCATTATATCTCTGTACAAATTGAGATGATGGTGTAATAGAATCAAATAACTGAAATAATTGTTTAGATGAACTAACTATTGTTGATAATGACACCTTTATAATTTCTGTTAAATTAAATGTTGGGATATCTTTAGATTCAATTTCAAATGATCCAGTTGAATTTGGTCTCAATACAGTACTTCCTCTTCTTGAACTCCATGAATATTTTGTTCTTGTTTGCTAAATATAATAAATATAATAAAAGGTAATTAAAATAAAAAGTAAATCAAACAAGTGTCTTCTTTTTGATAGAAAATCTTGATGGAGAACATGGAGTTAAAGCAATAGAATTAGTTCTTTTCATTTTGTATCTTTTTCTACTTTTGTAGTTACCAAGACTGAAAAAAAAAAGAAAACTTAAAAGAAAAAAAGATAAAATTAACAATAGTAAATTTTACTATTAGTAATATGTAAATAATAAAAAAAAACTCATTATCGTTATTTCATTATATTCAGTATGAATCAAGACAATGACCATTTCTTTATGTTTAACACATTAATTAATCCAAGTGGAGTTTCTCATTCAATCACTGCTCAGTTAAATCTTAACATAAATTATCTTGTTGTAAGCAAATTAAATTTATTAGAACTATATGAAATTAACTCAACTGGTCTCATTCCTTTAACAACAAAACGATACTCATCTGGGATTAGCCTTCTTTTAAAATATAAACCATTAAAAGATATTACAGACTATCTTATTATAGTTACTCAATCAAATGAAATAGAAATACTTAAACTTACAACATCTGCATTACATATAATTTCTTCTGGTTCTTTAAAAGACACTTTTGGAAGAAAAGCATTTTTTGGAGTTAAAGCAGCTATCTCTCCTAATAATCAAATTTTACTTTTAAATTTATACGAACAATTAATTAAAGTTGTTTTATTGCCACAATATCCTAAAGATCAATTAACTGCTTCAAATATAAAAGTTAATCATTCCCATATTCTTGATATGACATTTTGTTTATTAAATGATTCATATCAACTCGCTTTATTACATGAAAATAAAAGAGATATTAGACACATTGATACGTATACATTAAATTCGTTTAATGAATTAGAAAAAGGAAGTTTTAATCAACCAAATGTAGGATCAAATACATCAAGGATATTAGGATTTAAAGATGGTATTATTGGAATTTTCGTTATTTCAGATGAAACAGGGTGTTATTTTAATGGAAATGGAAAACACATTCTTTGTAATCTAAATCAATACCCAAATACTGCTTGTTGTTTCATTAAAAAAGATGTATTGATAATGACTGACTCAAAAAGAAATTTAGACACTCTTGAATTTAAAGTAAATATTAGCAACGAAATTATTGAAGTAACAAAGAAACAGGCACCAAAACTTTTACAGTCTATTTCTTCTACAATCAGTGACCTTTCTAATCAAATTCTTTTCATTGGTTCATTGAATGGAGACAATTTAATAATGAACTTAAATGGAAAAATTTTAGAAAAATGGAGTAATTTTGGTAGTTTAATGGATGCAAGACAAATAAGTAATAGAGAAGATTATCTTGTTGCTGGTAATGGTGGAGGAAAAGGTAGTATTGGATTAATGATTAAAGGAAGTGGAATTGAAGAACTTGGAGCTTGTGAGATAGATGGGATTAAAAGTATTGAAAGTATTGAATATAACAGTAAGAAATATGTTATTGTTGGGTTTGAAGAAGAAAGTAATATATGGGAAATACACCAAAAGTCAAAACACATAAAAATTGAAGAAAGTTTATTAAAGAAAATTATTGGTAAAGAGAGAGTTATATGTTGTGGAATAATAAAAGAACGATTGATTTTTGTTTGTAAAAAAGGGATTTATTCTATTGATAAACATCAAAAGAAAAATACTCTAATGAAATTTGATAGTTTTATTACACACGCAAAATTCATTAATCAACAAATATATTTCATTTATGGAACAGAGTTATTTAAAATTAATGAAGAATTAAAAATTCAAAAAATGAAAGATTTAGAACAAAATGTTAGTTGTTTTGATGCAAATGAAATTATAGTTATAGGACTTTGGGATGGAAGTATTTTAATTTTTGATATTAATGGAGTATTAAAGAAAACAGAAGTAGTAGATACTATTGGAAGAAGTGTTTTAATTGATAATAATAAAATTTATGTTGGATGTGATAATGAAATAATTATTTTCTTATACCACCAAATGGAAGAAGATTGTAAATATAAAAATAAACTTAAATATCAAGTTGAGGCTTCTCAGTCAGTCAAATTAAAAAAATTATATTCAATTCCCTGTGTTGTTGCAAATAAAACATTCACTTTTCAACAAACTGGACTTGTTCCTCTTGCTGTTGAAGATCTTATTGATATCTGTGAAAGTCCTGTTGGAGCTTATGGAATCATATGTGCAACTAAACGTGGTATTGTGTTTGGTTTAATGAAAGAAATGAGTAGAGTTACATTTAAAATGATACATTCTGGAGAAAATTGTTGCAAAATTGCTACTGATGGATCTCGTGGATTAATTGTTGGTAAAACAATCAAATCAATTAATTTAGTTGATGGGAGTTTTGGTGTTACAACAGTAGAACTAAAGAGTAATGAACTTGCACTTTGTGTTGATTCGTTAGAAGATAATATTTATGCAGTTGGAACTGCAATAATTAGGGAGAATGAAATAGAACCATCAAGTGGTAGAATTTTATTAATACGACAAGACTCAGAAGGATTAATTTATATCGTTGGAACAGAAGATTATGATGGTGCTGTTTATTGTTTAAAAAAATATCAAAAAGGAATAGTTGCTTTTATCAATAGAAATGTTCATGTCATTGAAAAAAAAGGAAAAGATTTAAGCACCAAACAAAATATGTTATTACCTTTGATAGGAGTTAGTCTTGACATTTGTAAAGATTATATCATTGCTGGAGATTTAGCGAGATCAGTTTCTGTTTATCGTTATAGAAATGACATTGAACATCTTGATATTGTTGGTAAAGACAATCAAATCGTTTGGTCTTCTTGTGTTGGGAGTATAGAAAGTGAATACGGCACTTCATTTTTAGTTGCAGACGTATCAGGAAATATTAAAATATTTAACTCTAATGAAGAAGAACCAAAAACAGATGATGAAAAAATTAATTTAATATCCCAAGTTCATATCGCAGATTCTATTAACTTTATCCAAAAATCTTTCTACAAAGGATGTTTAATGGGAGGTGTGCATGGTGGTATATATAATATTTGTGAGATATCAAAAGAACAATATCTTTTTTTGGATAAAATTCAATCCAAATTAGTTAAGCCAAATTGGAGAGAAAGTGTTAATACCCAGCAGACAAATCCAATGATGAATTGTATTGATGGCGACAAAATTGAAAGTGTTTTAGAGTGGAGTGAAAAGAAACAAATATTGTTAGCTCAAAAAATTGGTGTTGAATATCAAGAAATGATAGAAAAAATACAGTCACTCTTCTCTTTAGTTTTTAATTGATTGAATTTGATATTGTCAAAACCATTAAAATTTAATCTTTTAAGGAAAAAAAAGAGGAAAAATAAATCAAAAAAAAAACAGTCGAATTCAAAAAGATTATTGTTAGTGGTAATCTATATTACTTATTTTGTTTCATTTGGTGTTGATTCAGCTGTTTTGATTTGATTTTTACGTGCATCCTTTGCTGCTAATTTTTCTTCTTGTTTCTTTTTAAGTGCATTTTCATATTTGTGAATCAACTCTTCTTTAAATGGATAGAGATGAGGAATTCCTGGTTCTTTCTTTAATTTCTTTCGTGCTTCAGGAAACTTTTTTGCTAACTTTCTCATCTTTTGGTTGTGTCTTCCAATTTTCTTCTCAATTGAGTGTTTCTTACTTAGTGTTTGTCGTTTATTTCTGGGTTTTGATCTTGGCATCCTTTTTATGTCTCTAAGTTCTTTTCTGTTGTTTGTTAATGGTTCTTCTCTTGATTATTTTAAAACAAGACCATTCTGATATTAAAGTCAAAGAGATATTTTCAGTTTAGTTAAATAATTTCTAGAAGTCATTAAACTTTTTAGTGTGATGATGATGTGAATTTCTCAGAGTATTTGTGGTATTGACTAGATACCTTTTTGAGATAGTATGACAGAAAGATGTAAGGTTCAAATTCAAGAATGTTGAAAGAATTAATTGGTTGATAGATTATAGATGGTATTAAATAAGTATTTAACTAATGAAGTTCAAAGAAAGGAATGAGATGAAATAAGTAATGAGACATTTCATCAGAAAGTATTTCATGGAAAAGAGTTTTCAAATAGTTAGAAGAAAATAAATAAGTAAGAAAGAACAAGATTTGTAAAGAAGAAATGGGGAGATTACTTTAAATGTTTCAAGGAAGAAATAGAAGTGAAGAAATGAGAGAGATAGAATGATAAGAGTGGTAGAAAAAAAGAAGAAGAAGTTGAGAAAGTCGTTTAGAAAGACAAGAAACAGTCTTCAAGAATAAAGAAATAAAAGAAATAAAGAAGAAAAAAATGATAAAAGAAAAAAAATAGAAACTTAAAAAGGAAAAAGAATGAAGAGTGAGAAGAGATTACAAGAAAGATATCAAGAAAGAGAAGGACTAAAATGGCACGAGAACATTTATGAACAACTTGAATATGAGAAAGAGATAATTGAAAAAATAAAAAGAGGAGAAATTAAGAGAGAAGAAGAAGAAATAGAAAGTCAAGTAAGAGAAGAAGAAGAAACACA